CCATTCCCAGCAAAATCATTGTTCTGAGGATGGTGGTGAAAAGGTCATTTCAATTTGGAAACAATTACAAAAAAGTCAGCCTCCAGAATTCTGTATTTGATGAAGGTAAAATGATGGCACCTCCTGGTGACAGAACTCTAAGAAAATTTAGAGTAAATTTCCTACCCTTAGCACAGAGACTCTGAGGAGAGTTCTTCAGGCTAACAGGAAACAAACAAACAAACAACCAGATTAGAAACTCAGATCTTCAGGATAGAATGAAGAGTGTTGGAAACGGGAAATAATGCAGGAGAATATTTCAAAAGTAATAAAAAAATGTGCTGGAAACAGCACACCTGTAACCCCAGCTTCTCAGGAGGCTGGGCAGGAAGATCACAAGTTTGAGGCCAGCCTGGGAAACTTGGCAAAACCCTGTCTGAAAATAAAAAGGGAATATAGCTCAGTGGTTGGGCACCACTAGGTTCAATCCCCAGTTCTACTCCCTCACCCCCAAATTGTAGCTGGACACAGTGACACACACCTGTAATCTCAGCTACTAGGGAGACTGAAGCAGGAGGTTTACAGCCCCAACAATTTAGCAGGATCCTGTCTCAAAAGGGCTGGGGATGTAGTTCAGTGGTAAAGTATACCTGGGTTCAATCTGCAGTTCCAAAAATAAAGTCAGTATAGTAAAAACAAAAAAATTCTTTTGAGTGGCACATCTTATAAATTGATGAATTTGTTGTTCCCCATAATTGGAGAATACATATTTTTTGTAGTTATATGCAAGAAAACTTGCAAAAAAAAAGCTTCAACAAATTTTTGAAAATTTGATTCATGTAAGATACATTTTTTGATCACAAAGCACTTACATGTTAAAAATTTATAACAAAAAGATAAGTAGAAAACACCATGTGCTTGGAATTTTAAAAACACTTGTAATTCTTTTTTTTTGAGAAAACTTTATTAACATTGTTCCCCAAATATTAAATTTATACTTCTACTCTACTGATTTTCCTTTCATTAGTCTATTTATTTATTTATTTTTGATTGGTTCTTTCTACTTATACATAAAGGTGCAATTTTCTGTTATATTTATATATGCATATAGCATGATTTTTAAAAACACATCCCACATTTCCTCCCCTTTCCCATCCCTCCTTTCTTCCTCTCAGTTTTCTATTTTACTGACCTTCCCTATGTCTTTATGATATCTGATCTTCCCCTCCTGCTTTCCTTTATGTTGCTCTAGCTTCCACACATGAGAGAACATTTGAGCCTTGATTTTCTGAGGTTGGCTTATTTCACTTAGCATGATGCTCTCTGTTTCCATCCATTTACCAGCAAATGCCATAATTTCATTCTTTCTTTGGCTGAGTAAAACCCCATTGTGTATATACAACCACATTTTTGCAATACATTCATCTACTATTAGGCATCTGGGTTGATTCCATAATTTGATTATTGTGATGTGCTGCTATTTACATTGAGGTGGCTGTATTGCTCTAGTATGCCGATTTTAGTTCTTTTGGGTAAATACCAAGGAGTGGAACAGCTGGGTTGGATGATGGTTCTATTCCTGTTTTTTTGAGGAACCTCCATACTGCTTTCCAGAATGGTTGTACTAGTCTGCGGTCCCATCAGCAGTGTATGACTGTACTTTTCTCTTGAGATTCACCAGAATTTATTACTGTCTGGTGTTCTTGATGATTGTCATTCTGACTGCAGTGAGATGAAATCTTAAACACTTCTACATTTTTGACTGAAAGAAGAAACTGTAATGAAAATCAGAAATATTTAGAACCAAATAAAATTTATATATTTTCATAACAATTTTGGGGATACTTTAAGAAGTAACAAGAGAAAAAAATTACATCTTTAAGTGTTCACGTTAATAATAAAGAAAGTTGCAAAATAAATGAGGATATAGTGATATTGCACCAAAATAAAGCAGAAGGAAGGGGGCTTCAAAGAGAAGAACAGAAATTAATGAAATAGATCATAAACACATAATAGTATCCAGAAATGAGTTGGCAATTGAAGAGTAATAAAATAAGTCAATCTCTGGTAGGATTAATTTTATAAAAATAGAAAAGGCACAAACAGGAATGAAACAACATAACTGCCACTGCCAAAAGTTAATACATAGCAGGAGTCTATCTGATCAACTCTGTGCTTACAAATCAAAAAACTTAGATATGGATAAAATAGAAAAGAAAATGTGGCAGAACAGACTGAAGAATAATAGAAAACCTATAAGTAGAAAATAGTCCTATCATCAAGAAAGTAATTGAATCAGTACTTAAAACCCACATCCCCAGATTTAACCAGAGAGCTGTATCTAACATCATGAGAGAACAGGAAAATAAGGAATGTTCCTGCTCATTTTATGAGACTAGCATAACCTTAACAAAACCAGACAAAGACAGTAGTGTGAGAACAAACATTTTAGTCCACTTTCACTTATGAATATTGATGCACAAATTCTAAGGAAAGATTTTGAAACCAGAAAAATGTACAAAAAGATGAAGTATATCATGAAAAACTTGGTTTGTAAGAACTGAGTCAACACTGAGTGTGGTCGTACGCACCTCTAATTGGGAGGCTGAGACAGGAGGATTGCAAATTCAAGGATAGCCTCAGCAACTTAGGGAGGTCTTAAGCAATTTAGCAAGACCCCGTCTCAAATAATAAGAAAAGGGTTGCAGTGTGGCTCAATGGTTAAGCGCCCCTGAGTGCAATCCCTGGTACCCAAAAAAGAATTGAGTCATCGGAAAACTTACTGATATGCCATATTAGCAGATTAAAAAAGAAAAATCATGTGATGATCTTAATAGAAGCAGAAACAATGTAATAACATTTTATTAGCTATTAGTTGAAAAATTCTTGGCAAATGGAACATTAGGGAGCTTCACAACTTGATTAAGCACTTCTAAAAGGAGAAAAAACTATAGCAAACATTATACTTAATGCTAAAATGTTGAAATTGATCCTGTAAGATCAAGAGTAAGACCAAGGATATCAGGGATCTGCCCCTCTACTTTATGTTGTAACTGGTGGTTTCTACTCAGTGCAGTAAAACAAAGAGAAAATTTGTAAAGGACAAGAAAGAAGGTGCTAGACAGTCAAAATTTGCAGGTAATATAAAAAATTTGGCAGATAATTAGGTTAAGTTATTAGAATTATTAGAGTTAGAAATTAAAGTGGCTTATAAAATTGTTCAACAAGATTGCTAGATTCAAGGACAAAATTTTAAAAGAGATTACTTCCCAGGGATGATACCAAGTTCCTAGAAATAAATCTTACAAAGATCATATAAACCCCTTTGGAGACAGAGGATAAAAATTAAAAAAAATAAATTTCATGAAAAGATATTAAAGATTTAAGTAAACAAGTCAATCCTGTGATCTTTTTTTTTTTTTTTAAAAACCCAATATTATTATAACACTTCTCCCCCAATTGATCTGTAATTCAGTGCAATTCTGGTCAAAGTCCCAAGCAGATTTTAATCCATGTTGCTGGGATGAGTCAATAAAGCAAAGGAAGGTAGAGGAAAGACTTAAACAAGCACCTTATTAGAGGACTCGTGAATGACACATGAACATATGGATGGATGCACAACTTCATTAAGCAATAAAGAAGCGCAAATCAAAACCACCTTAAGGGCTTGGGATGTAGCTCAGTTTGGGAGAGCACTTGCCTAGTATGCTTGAGGCCCTGGATTCAGTCCCCAGCACCAGCATCACAGGACAAACAGAAAACCCTACTATAAATTATTTCTCATCTACCAGATTAACACAAATGAAAAAGTAAGACGATGCTAAGCACCAGAGAGGCTATGAGGCACCTGCCAGGGCAACGGGACTTGCATTCCCTGCTGAGGGGTGTGGATTTGAACAACCATTATGGAGGTGCCTTCAGCATTACCAAGTGAAGGAGAAGGGACCTGTGGCCCCACAGTCATTGTGTATGCACCTGTTCCAGAGGATGTGAATGAGAACCAAAACAAAATGACCCAGTGGCTTTATTAACAGAATTATTAACTGTGGCTTTTTTTTTTAAAAAAAAAGAAAGGGATACTACACAGCATTCAGATGACAAATCCCAGCTACACCTCAACACAGATAAATGTCCTAAATGTGGAATGAACAAAAGCCAGCCACGAAAAAGCATAATCAATTTCTATTTATATGAAGTTTAGAAAGTAGGCACAATTAAGCGCTTAGCATTTAAAAGTATCCCTAATTATAAACTAGAAGGGAAAGAGAATGGCTAATACACAGTTCACAGTGAGTGAGGTGTGGGTGTAATGCTGTGGTGACAGCAGTGTCTGAATGTTTGTTATGGTGTTCCAGTATAAGGGGACGCTGGGTCTAGTTCACATGTGTGCTTGCATGGTGGCTGCAAGACAGGACTGATGCTGAGCATTAGATGCACGCCAGGCACTTGTGACCCATTAAATCAGTTTTGTCACTCACAATCTGAAAATGTCTAATGGCTTAAGCTGGTGGTATCTCCCTGTTTTGTTGTTCTTCTTAATTCAGTATTCATACCTTTTAGGAAGCAGAAACCACTCAAAGCACTGGGAGAGGATACTTTCAGGTGCCTTTGGAGAGCCAGGACAGAGTGGGTGGCTCTGGGGCTCTTTGACTGAAGGGGAGCCTGGGTTCTGGGGAGACAGGCTCCTGTGGTTCCCCATAGTCTGTTGAGATTGGCGTTGTCTCAGAGAGCCCCTTGCTTGCCCCCATGTGGCAAGAGAATGTGCAGAGAATCTCCCAGCTGTTTCCTCTCCAATCCTTACCAGAGGGTCTGTCCTAGATTTCCCCACCCAGCACTTTCTCTCCCCAGGTGTTGGGCCCTGGCCGCCAGCCTGGCTAGTCTGAGAGAGCACCCTTTTGGTGGCTACCTCACCTGGCATAGGGCACTGACCCAGTTGTGGCCCACAGTATCCTTTTCCACTTACCCCAGCTGCTCAGAACTTTCCGAAGGTATCTCTGAGTTCTGACCCCACCTTTCTACAGGTGCCAAGCCAGCTGCCTCTGTGGACCCGTGGGGAGTGCCCACCACAGCCAGCACACAAACAGTCCCCAAGACCTCAGATCCCTGGGCAGCTCCGCAGCAGCCTGCCCCCAATGCTGGGAAAACAACAACAACGGATGCCTGGGGTGTAGCTTCAGCTACCAAGCCCATACCTGCTTCGGGTGAGCGCCTCCCTGCTCGAGCTCTGAAAGCCTCCACCCAGCAGCTCCATCTGGCTCCTTGGCAGCTGCCCATTGGTTTGCTGCATTTGCTTCTCTGCTTGCCCTACACTGACCTCGGGTCCCTATCCCCAGATCCAAACACCCCAGTACGAATGAGAGTTCACAGGCCCCTCTGTGTGCTCCACAGCTTACTCCAGGTGTGCCACCCACGAGGGTGTTGAGAGGTCTGTACTGGTCCCAGCCATGGGTACTCTTGACCCTGGGCACTCCTTCAGGTCACTTCTACAGATCAGCATCCAGCGTCCAGCCACAGCTTAAATGTACCTTTGTCCTTATGTTTGGGGTAAGGACAAGTGGACAGGCTCCCTTCTCCCTGCTGTCACCTTCCCAGCCAGGTGACTGGAGCCTGTCTGCTGTCTTTAGCTCTTAGTTCTAGTTCTGCCCTGTGAGGTAGGGTAAAGAGGGAGATGCCCCCCTGGCCTTCCCATCCTCGGGATGTAAACTGGGTGACTGCAGTGCTGCAGGGTCTTGTGAGGTCCCCACAGTCACTGGCTTCTGTCCCCCCAGGATCCTTTGAGCTGTTCAGTAATTTCAATGGTACAATTAAAGACGACTTTTCTGAATTTGACAACCTCCGAACTTCAAAAAAATCAGGTAGGTAAAGGTGGTTTCTGTACTGTTCTGTGCATTTGACTAGCTTCATTATTGCAGAAATAATAGCTCTTGAAACCCAGCAACTTTATGCCTTTTCTCAGTACTTTGATCTTAAGAGCCTGAAGCTTGTAGTTTCATGAACTCACACATTGGTGAGTCCCGTGTTCTGTGTCTGGTTGCCTTTCTCCCAGGGCTGTGATCCATGTCGGCCAGAGCCCCAAGCTGCATGCAGGTGTTCACTCTGGCCTCCCTGCCAGGGTGGACTCATCCCAGGTCTGATACATCTTGTTACCTTCCTTCCACCAACCTCCTGCTTCCCAGAGGTGTTTCCTTGAGTATAAATGGGGATGGTCTGTGTCTACTTCCCTCAGATGGCAGTTTCTGCCCAGGAGACCCTGATCCATTCCAGACCCAGCTGGGCTGGGAGGGCATGGGGGTTGAGGTTGGCTGGAAGCTGCAGTAGGGAAGTCCTGGGGTGTACTCTCATGTACCCTGTGTAGACTGAGGACAGAGCTAGGCAGTCTCTGTCCATCTTGGTCCTTATCTCCAAGCTCCATACAGTAACTTCTGTCCTTGGCTTTCCCTTGTCCTTCCCACTTGCCCATCCTACTCCTTCCTACCCTCTGAGCCTCTCCCTTCTGTTTAAGCCCCCCCTCAGCTGCAATCCCTGGCCTGATAAAAGGAACAGCAGCCCGATCCTATCCCCACCTTATCCCCTGCCCCTGGACTCAGGGGCTCCCAGCCAAGGTCCAGAGGCAGCTTTAAAAACCTGCTGCTTGCCAGGCTTAGGGTGGGACATGCCTATAATCCCAGCAACTTGAGAGGCTGAGGCAGGAGGATCACGAGTTCAAAGCCAACCCCAGCAAAAGTGAGGTGCAAAGCAACTCAATGAGACCCTATCTCTAAATAAAATACAAATAGGGCTGGGAATGGGGCTCAGTGGTCGAGTGCCCCTAGATTCAATCCCCGGTACCCAAAAAACAAAACAAAAACAACGCTGCTGTTTTCACCTTTTTTCTTTTGCTACATTAAAACAACAAGATTGTGCCGGGTATGGTGGCACATGCCTGTAATCCTGGTGGTTTGGGAGGCTGAGGCAGGAGGATTGTGAGTTCAAAGCCAGCCTCAGCAACTTAGGCTCTAAGCAATTCAGCAAGACCCTGTCTCTAAATGAATATTTTCAAAAGAGGGCTGGAGATGTGACTCAGTTGTTAAGCGCCCCTGGGTATAATCCGTTCAGGTCATAGTGCAACCTAATCTGTCCTTGCCCACCCTCTCCCTCTGAGCTTCTGAGAAGGCAGCTTGGCCATTGTTAAGTGTTGACTTATAAATATTTGTTCCCAATTAGAGAAGTATTCCTATTGTAGAAAATTTGGAAAAGTTTATGAAAGAAAACGAAAATTACCTATAAAATCATCTTTTTCTCAGCCACTGTATTTCCCTCCAGTATCTTTCTGAACTCTTATTGGTCTTTTTTGTTCAGATCTGCTATCAGAATTGAGTTCTGCCCCTGCTTTCCTGAGTTCTATGGAATAACCAATTGGAAACATTTTTTCATGACTTTAAAATATATTAGAAATAGAAATAAAACATATACATATATGTATATATTTATATATGTTTTTCCCTCTATGGCTCAGCAATATTTTTAGTTATCAATTTAGGGGAGAAAATTTTAGGTTGAGTTCAAGTTGTGCTAATGCAAATAATTCTGTGGTGAACACCTGTCTACTTAAGTCCTGGTTCACATTTTGCATTTTTTCCTTGGGCTGGATCCCCACAAGTGGGATGCCTGAGCATGACCATTTTGGAGAACCCAAGCCCTTGGCCAGCAAGCAGTCATATCCTTTGGCCTGTCTCAGCACACCCTCTTCCGGCTAAATTTCAAAACATAGTTTACTTTCTTCTTGCTATCAAGAACATAATGTTTCACTGTAGAAAATTTAGAAAATGAAAATGTAACATGATATATAAAAAATTAAATTATCTGGGCCTTATCACTAACCCCAAATAACATCTTAATATTTTTTGAGGATTGTGCTGTATGTACTTTTTTGTATCTTGCTTTTTCCACTTAACCATTTTGATAGTTTTCTTTGTTCCTTGTTATGTATCATTCTGTCCCTATTGGGTTATATGGATGTGTGGTTTCTTTAATGGCCCGTGGCTGGCTGTCTCCATTTGGGGATACTGGAAAGGGACTGCAGGGAACACAGCTGCATGTATCCTGGGAGCCAAGGCATTGGGCATTGATGCTTATGGGGGTGAGAGCATTAGGTGCATGGTCTTAGACCCCTACACTCATTCTGCCACTTGTGTCCCTGTCTTGCAGCTGAGTCTGTGGCCTCTCTGCCATCCCAGAACAATGGAACTGCAAGCCCTGACCCCTTTGAGTCTCAGCCCCTGACTGTTGCCTCAAGCAAGCCCAGCAGTGCCCGGAAAACACCCGAGTCTTTCCTGGGCCCCAACGCGGCCTTGGTGAACCTGGACTCACTGGTGACCAGGCCCGCCCCAGCGGCTCAGTCCCTCAACCCCTTCCTGGCCCCAGGTAGGCACATGTCTGGGCCATATCCAGCTGTTCTGCCTGAGAGTGGGTGTACTGCAGGCCTCTAAACCTGACTCTCCCACCTCGGGGACTCTTCCTGCTGTGCCCCACCTAGGGCTGCATGGCCTGTGGCCAGGAGGAAGTGGAACTCCAGAACCTGTGCTGTCTCCTCTCTCCAGGGCCACGTGGGGTGGGGCATGGAAGCTGCTGTTTAAAGCAGGGAGAGTATGGGGGAAATGGCTCCTCCTCTTAGTTAAGAGCACTAAGCAGAAGCTCTTCCTACTCAGTGCCCCTGGCAGAGGACCCTCAGGCAGGGGCCATTATGAGGTCAGAGAGAAGTAGGCAGGTGCTGGGGCAAAGAACAACCAAAGTTTGCTGCATAGTATCCCTCCTTGAGGGGGAACTTAACTTGGCCCTCTAGTATAAGCCAGCCTTGGGACCCAGAGACCCTTACCACAGACCCTGGCTCCGGGCTGCTTCATCCAGCATCCAGGATCACTGAGGTCTGGCGATGGCCTCCCTAGCCTAGCCCCACCCTCTTTTCTCTTGTGGACCACATGCCCTTGGCTCCACTGAACTCTGTACCAGGACTCCTCATTACCTCCATGCTGTGATTCACCACTCCCTCAGCCTAGATCCTCATTTCCTCCAGCACCTAGCTCACATGACTTGCTCTTCTAGGAATTTCTTCCCTGCTGCACAGATTGACCTATACTTGGAGTTCCTGGGACCTACCCAGCTTGAGGTCCTCATGAATGAGGATGTGGCCACAGGGGAGGGTGGCCCCTTAGGTGAAGCTAGATTAGGACATGAGCTCCTCAGCCAGCCTGGAGTGTGTCTCTGTCCAGAAAATCTCCTGTCCCCTTCTGCCAGGGAGCCCCTAGAGGCCTAGAGGAGCTGACCATGTCCATCAGTTCTCTGCGAGCACCTTGTTGGGGCCTTGAGGCAGCTTGGCTTTCTGAAGCCCATCCAGGGTCTGGGAGCTTTCGACAAGATAGACAGGTTTGGGCAGCCCTATTGGAATCCAGGGCCATTCTCCAGGCCCATTCTCCAGGCCATGCAGGTAGTCCTGGCTGTCATTTCTGTAGTTACATGGACCAGAGACGTGGTCCTGGGCTCTACACTCAGTGAGGGTCTACTGCTCTGCAGCCTTTTGTTTTCTCTACCGTGAATCAGGGTTGACTTACAAAGCCCCCATTGCAGGCTCGAGGGGGAGGAGCTCATCTCCCCCAGTATGGGTCAGAGAGTAGCAGCCTTGTGTCCATGGTGGTGACTCAGGCTGTCCTTTGACAGGCATGCCTTCTGGACACAGCCAGGCTGGACACTCAGAGCTGGTAGTGCTATGTCTCTCAGCAAAGAATCACTAGATGTTTTGCTAGCAGCAGAAGAGACTTTCTGGTATGAGGGAGGTTTAGGGACTGGGTGGTACAGGGCTCTTCAGCTTCTTGATGTCAGGACTTCCCTGAGCCTTCAGAGTGCCAGTGGACAGGGCCCACGGTGCTGTGTATTCACTGAAGGTCATGTGCTGCAGTTCCGGTACTGCTCCCCGCATCTCCCCACCACTCACCCTCCTCTCTCCCAGACATCTGTGGTCACAGCTGGGGAGACAGAATGAGGGAGCAGGCAGCTGTTTATTGCTGATGGTGTCCTGGGTGCCAGCCCTTCAGAGGAGCTAGAGTCTCTGAGCCTGGTGTGTCCTAGAAGTGCCTTGTTTAGCTCTGTGACCCCAGATAAGACACAGCTTCTCACAGCTGTCGTCTTCTCACCCTGTGTGATCCCTGTGGTCAGCGGATGTTTGTTAGTGCCTCCTTTGGACTCGGCCAGTACTGTAATGGGCCCTGAGGGTATAGCAAGGAACAGAATACAAACCCTGACCTGGAGCTCAGAATCTAGACAAGAGCTGACTGTGGAGGGTGGCTGTGCTGGATAGTATTCTCTGAAAAGCTCAGTCCTTATTCCTCTTGCTCTCTCTCCAGGTGCAGCTGCTGCCTCGGCCCCAGTCAACCCCTTCCAGGTGAACCAGCCCCAGCCACTCACGTTGAACCAGCTGCGGGGGAGCCCAGTCCTGGGGAGCAGCGCATCCTTTGGGCCTGGCTCAGGAGTAGAGCCCGTGGCTGTGGCCCCCATGACCTCAGCAGCCCCACATCCAGCTCTGGGGGCTGGTGGCTCCTCTTTGACATCACTGGGCCCTGCAGCGATGAACATGGTGGGCAGCGTGGGCATTCCCCCATCAGCAGCTCAGGCCACCGGCACAACCAACCCTTTCCTTCTCTAGTGCCCCAGGCTCCGACCTCCCTGAGTGAAAGCCTGGAGTACCAATGCCAGAGGACTTGTAGCAGGGACTCTCGTTTGTGGGGTGGCGGCTGAGAGTGTGGAGTGTTAGGGCTTTTCAGTTCCAGCTTCCTGGTGAAGGGTTGTCCTATGGCCTCGACCCTTAGACTGAGCAGCACATAGCTGTCCACGCTGTGTGGGGTCGGCCTGCCCTTGCCGCCGCCTCCCAAGTGCTCAGCTCCCAAGCTCCTCTGAGGCCTTGGACAAGGAAGCAAAGTCATCAGTGTTGCTCTGGCCCCAGCCTCAGCCCAAGGGTCTCTGGCTTACTGCCTAGCCCCAAACTTGGGACAGTCGCCTCGTCTTTACTCCCACCCCGCAGCCCTAGGGGCACTGCAGGCTGTCCCCAAGGTGGATGGGATGAAGCACCCTTCCCATTCAACACTGACCTGTGGGAGAGTGGTTGTGCATATTTTTCTTTTTCTTTGACTCGTGTGTGAGTTCAAAGTAAACACCACCGTGGACAACTCTTGAATTAAATCCACTAGAGCAAGCTTTAAAACTAACCTGAGCATAACCCTGCCACGTGGCTCTATGCTTGTACACGTTTGCACATATTTTGTTTAGTACAGTTTCATATTTGAGTTTGCAGAATTATCTAATAGTCTTTTTTTGGCTAATATTTTTATAACGTGGTTCTTATTTAACTGTCTAGTTTTGATAGAATTTACCAGGTCAGGCTGACTTAAGATCTTGGCACGTGTCATTTTAGTGGTTTAAATCCTCTTATTTATGGTTTTAACTGTAAGAAAATTTAAAAAGGAAGAGATGTTTGGATGACAAAAATATGCCTTATGGAAAAACTAAAGCAAATTCTTTATAGGGGAAAGTATGAAAATTTGATTACACAAAAAAGATGATGTTTATTTAAAAAAACAAAAAAACAAAAAAACCTCCAACAGCAACAAAAACTCACAGCCTCCAGTTGCCTTTTCCTTTCTCTATTTTGGTGATTTACAAAAACCAGTTGACTCTCAGCCTTTTTGGCTAGTTCATGAGAGGCTTTTATTTCTTAACAATATGCCATCTTGAAAATTGAAAAAAACTAACTTATGAATGTGACTCACCAGTTTTTACCAACTAATTCCTTTTTTAATTAATGTCATGCAGGGATTTAGGGACTTCTGTTTACAGTGGGAATTTGAAGTGGTGGAATTTCCCTTAGCCTTTTGTCCATGCTCTTCTCTGACTCGATCCATGCTCAGGTTTACGACAGGATCGGGTCCCAGAGGTCCCTGGAGGATGGTCCCCAGGCTGAGATAGAGGCAGGGAACCAGGGCTGGCCCTGATCCATCTACCTGCCAACTCCAGGTACAGGTTGCAGTTTGAGAAGTAATCATCTCTTATTTTTGAGATGAAAAAAAAAATCATTTTCACATAGGATCGAGTTTTAACATGCACTAATATCTCCCACTCCCAACCTCCTGCTGTCCTTACCCCATCCACCACTGTAAAGAAAAGTATTAAGTCCCAGATTATAAATTAGAAAAGACTTGCTTTTCCCCAGGGAAGGGACATCCCCCGAATCCTGTGTCCTGGCAACTTGCCTGGCAGATATTTCTGAAATCGAGTCCCAGCTTGGACTTCTCACCCCCAGCTCTAGAGGCAGCCGACCACCTGCCAGCCCCTCTCTGTTCCAGGAAGAGATCCCACCCTCAGCACCAGCATGGGAGGGATCCATAATGGTCTCTGGGCTGCCAGGAGGCCACTCGAGCTCTGAGTGAGGACTGCCTGCTTGGGCCACTCCTCCCAGAACTGGAGGCCTGAGGCCAGCCTTGGTGCATTTGCCGCCCAGGAAGGCAGGTGGCTGGGTTTCTCCTGCTTGGGGAGGGTGGGGGGCACCATGGGATGCCGAGGCAGGGCGCCTGCCCAGGATGGTGCTCTCCCTCAAAAGGTGCAGGGCCTGGGCCAGCGTACAGGGTGGTATACCAGACTGCTTGGGGTCAGTGATTCTTTTGTAATAGACAAGAGTCCTTCCTTATGTGACTGAGGCCCCAACCTAACAAGCCTCTGGGCCACCCAAGAGCAGCCCTCCCTCCGCCCCGCTCCTGTTACAGGTCATCCCGAGTGCACGTTGTCCCTGTTGCCCACTGCACTGATCATGAAGCCACCAGTTGCTGCCACGTGTGTTGCACACATGCTACTGTGCCCCCTCCTGATGAGCACCATGGTGGAGGAAGTCACCCAGCCATTTCCCTGTGGGCCGGTGGCTGGTTTTGAACTTGTGTTGACTGTTGATACTTATTTACTGTATAAATATAATTTATCATTTGTATCATGATGCGGTTTCTGGCTGTGTCCTTCTGCCTTCCATAGGGTCCCTCCTGTGCCACAGAGAGTTGGGCAGGCTAGGGAGCCCATTCCTGCCTATAAACAGCTTGGCCTACCATCAGTGAGGTTATCCAGTCCAGGTGTTCTTCGGGGGGAGGCCTGCCATCTTGGGGTGCTGTGAAGTGTGGTCTCAAGTCCTCTGCCCCTTCCTTTGCCTGCCCCTTTGCAGTGGTGTTCCAGTGGAGGCGGGTTTTGAAGGAGACGGCAGCAGGTGTGCCTTTTCCAAGGCCTGGCTTCCGTCTACCTTAGAGGCCTCCCAGAAGAAGCTGCTACCTCATCATTTGGGGTAGACTTATTTTGAGCCCAGGGGAGTGGGGAACTGGTTTGGTTAATGTGTCATCAAATACTTTACTCTTTTCCCCACACATAGACCAGAAGGTCCCCTCCATCTCTGCATCCAGCTCAGAAGTCAAGGATCTCTGGGGGGTGGAGCACATTCTCCAGCAAGGCAGGACTGTCACTGCGCCCTCCCCGCTGTCAGCAGCAAATGGTGCAGCAGGTGTAAGTGACCATAGTAGGCTTCAGGGACACTGGCAGCTGCTGGTCCTTGGCAGTGACCTGTGAGGTCACCTGTCTAGAAGACAGGAAAGGACCTGATAAAGCTGTATCTCTTTTGGCAAGGAGGTAGTAGGGGAAGAGTCTCCTGACCAGTTTCCTCCGTGACTCCAGGCTCTGTCCTCTAGGAATAGCCCATCCTTTTTGTACTCCGCCTGCTATAGCCAAGGTGGGCATCAGTGTGTGCTGCTGGGGGGCTTGGCTCCCTGCCTGCGGGTAGACATTCCTGGTCAAGACCTGTCATATCAAAGGTAGTGTACCAGGCTCGTGGGTCTTGCTTGGCAGTGTTCTGAGTTCTCTGCTTCCCATCAGTTCCACATACAAATAATTGCATTATTTTGGTTAGAGAATTACTTTTGATCCTCCAGTGGTTGCGTCTCCCAGTATGGTCTTCTCCTACAGACTTGGAGTGGCCAGTGGGACATGAGAGCAGGCAAGAGGTAAGCAGGGCCTGCGTGTGGCTGGTCCTTATGGTATGATCTACTGGCAGCCTGGCTAGTGGGCTATGAGAAGTTCAAATGCGTGGAGAGGCCAAGTGGTAGAGAACTGAGGTGCTCTGGGCAGTGACCCCAGATAAGCTGTCAGATAATAGCACCTAGGAGTGAGCATAGTATCACTATGAACAACAATAATAAGTTGTCTTAAATTGTAGAGTTTGGGGGTAATTTGTTAACACAGCAAGATTACAGGAGCACACAAAGTTCTTTCTCAGGAGCTGCCAAATCCCCTTGCTGCCCTTCCCCCACTCTTCCCTCAACTTAATGGTAGTCCTCACGGTCTATGGGATCACCATGGGAGGGCCACCTCCTCATCCAACTGAATGAAAGACTAGTTATTTTATTCAAATGAGTAGTAATTTTTATTAGGAATTTATTATTCAGAGCAATTTTCGATCTTATCTCCTCATTGGTTCTAGATACAGTCTCCTTTTTCAACATTTTGACCCAAAACTTGAGATTGTTTTTGTTCCCTTTCACTTCTGCTTGCTAAGTGGTCAGTTCTTTCCTGAGTACAAACATCATTCACAGCAGCTAGCTCCCACTGTATATTCTACTATCTGTCTCTGTCCCCTAGAGTTGATGATTTGGCACAAACTGACTTTCATCTTGGGTGACATCATCTGCTTGTGTGGTATGAGTTTCCTGCTGTCCATCCAGTTATCTGTGCTCAGTTCCTCACTGCCCAATTGGTGCCCTTAAAGTAGTTTTTGTTTTTGGTTACAGCAGAAATCTACCCCTAATAGCAATTATCATGCCTAGGCTATGTAGGAACAAACACCTCTCAAATTCCTTGAGGCTAAACACAATGAAAGTGTTTTTCTCACAAAATGCCCAACAGCTGGGAACTGTGAGACTCGTGTTTGCACCGGGGATTGAACCCTCAGGCACTTAACTACTGAGCCACATCCCCAGCCCTTTTTTGTATTTTATTGAGACAGTGTCTCATTGAATTGCTTAGGGCCTCACTAAATTGCTGAGGTTTGCTTTGAACTAGCGATCCTCCTGCCTCAGCCTCCAGAGCCACAGGTTACTACACCCAGCTCTCCTTCATGATGCTGCCATCTTCAACCCATGGTTCAAAGGGCTCACTCTGTTGACAGGAACAAGGATTACCCAGGCAGTTAAGTAGGTCAGACCTCTAAGAAGTGAGCATTTTTTTGGTCAGAACCACTTGTCTGGATCTACAAGAGGCCTGGGCAATGTCTTCCAAAGTGTGCCCAGGAGAAAATGGAAATGGTCTGGTGAGCACATCATCGTGACAGGAGTGAACCAAGGAGCCATATGCCTCGACTGCTCTTCGTGTAGATGGTTATCCATCTTGCTTCCCATGTCCCAGGCACATATTCAAGCTGTCAATCTCCAAAGTTCCCCATTGCATAGTTCTCAGTGACTAGCTGGGGCACAAGGACTCTCCTAGCTGATGGTGATGTTCTTTGCCTCAGCACCGGGGTATGCATTTGTCAAAACTCAGATGTAGCACACTTAGGATTTATGTATTTTGTTGGATATAAATCTTCAAAAGAAGGAACAAAATGGGCTGGAGCTGTAGCTCAGTGGTAGAGCACTTACCTAGCACATGTGAGGCACTGGGTTGGATCCTCAGCATCACATAAAAAAATAAAATAAAGGTATTGTGTCAACTAAAAAAAATTTTTTTTAAAAAAAGAAAGAACAAGGGCTGGGGCTGTAGCTCAGTGGTAAATTGCCTGCCTCCTATGTGTGAGATACTAGGTTCAATCCTCAGCAACACATAAAAATAAATTAAGATACTGTGTGTTCATCAATAACCAAATAAACATTTAAAAAAGAAAGAACAAAAAGTACAATATTGAACTCTAGTTAATGATAAGCATGCTAAAATAGAAAGCAGCTGGTATACTGAAGTCTGCAGTTTATTTTGAAGTACACTAAAACCAAGATGGACTGAAGGAAAGACGAACAGTTGGACAGACAAGAAAATTCAAGTATAGTCATTGTCCCTCAGTATCTGTGGAGGATGTGTTCCAGCCACTCCCTAACCCACAAATACTCTTACATAAGTGGTTTAGTAATCGCACATCATCCCATATTCTTTAAATCATCTCTAGATTATTTATTATATATGTAGATGATATACAAATAGTTGTTATGGGGCTGGGGTTGTGGCTCAATGATAGAGTGCTTACCTTGCATGTGTGAGGCACTGGATTTGATCCTCAGCACCACATAGAAAGTAAATAAATAAAGGTATTGTGTCCATTTACAACTAAAAAATATTTTAAAAACAGTTGTTATACTGTATTATTTAGGAAATGATGAAAGAAAAAAGTCTATCTGTTCAGGACAGATATTTGGTTTTCTGATATTTTTTTGATCTGTGGTAAGTGCAACCTACAGATAGAGAGTAGGAAAATGGTCCTGGTAGAATCTAGGAGGTGGGTATGAGGTATTCACTATAAAGTTATAACTTTTCTTTGTTTAAACAATTTGATACTCTTGGGGGGCAGAAATGGACAATTAAACTAAGGGTGGCCCACCATGTCAAAGCTGCTGACAGATGGGGCAAACTAGCCTTTAGGATTGAACATGGACTTGAGAGGGTAGAGGTCTCAGGCAATGACAGGAAAAGTTGGCTGGCCTAGGTGGGGGTGAAGCTGTAGTCAGAGGAGACAGCATTTTTAGGAGCTGCAATAAAATAAGGCCAAGAAGTTGGTGGGCAGCTGGCAGTGTCCCAGGGACTTGTGAGCTGAGGCAGGAAGAATGCATGTTGGAGGCTAGATTTAGCAGCTTAGCAAGATACTCAGCAACTTATCAAGACCCTGTCTCAAAATACAAAATAAAAGGACCAGGAATGTATCTTAGTGATAGAGTGCCCTGGGTTCAATCCCCACTATGAAAAAAAAAAGAAAAAGAAGTGAGGTAGAGGGGTCTGGGGTTTTGTCTCTTGTGGTTTCTCTGAGTCGTTCTTGAGTGGAGGCTGAGGGGAATCATTGTGTCGAGGATGGAGGAGAGCCCCCTTGTGGATATGACACCTGTGAAAAACCAGAGGGCACAGGCTTTTGTGTGTTCCCATGGGGCAGCCTCTGGAAGGACTAGGAAGATCGGGTCTCTGGGAGTGTGGGATGCCGTGGCAGGACCAGGAGGAAGCTATTTGGTGGAAGGGACGGAGAGGATCCTGGAAGTTTGGAGACAGAAGGTATGAAAGAGTTTTCTCAGAGACTGCAAGAGGGAGTAGTCTGAGGAAATACAGTGGGTCTCTGGGCACAGTGAGCGCTGTGGAGGGCTGAGTTGTGGGCAGAGGTGGGCAGTCAATAGGCTCTATGATTGGGTGGATGGATGGGGAGCCCCCACTGGGGCTGAGGTTTTGTTGGGTGAGTGTACAGAAAGGAAGAAGGGGCACAGGTGTTGAGGGGACATACGGTGAGTGTATGTAAGTGATGACCACGAGTTCTGTAGTGGATAGGACAGACAAAAGAAAAGAGGGGCTGACAGCTGGCAAAAGGCAGCTGGCTGGCAAGTGACTTGGAGGTTCTGGAAGGGATGAAGGGCTGTTGGCTTGAGAGCCCCAGGGAAGGACCATGATAGAAACAGTTGTCTAAGAAAAGGAAGCTCAGATCTAGGTTTTGCAGGTGATGCAGTTGTTGGTACCAAGCAGCTCTGACCACAGGAATGGGGACTGAGGCATAGAGGAAAAGATCACTGTAAGTGAGGAGGTTGAGGAAGTGGCCAAAAGTGTTTGAGGGATCATCCTCAAAGACCATGATGTCACTAAGAAGAGCTGCAGATTAAGTGATCCCTGCAGGCACACTTTGGTGGACACTGATGGTGATGTGGTCTGATGGCTTGGCCTTCAGGAAGGAGGTGGTCGTCTGGAATGTTGAAGGGCAAGGACACATTCTATCTCTGGGCCCGTGGTGAAAAGAGAAAGATACTGCTCAGGAGGGCTATGGGGGCAGGGCAGGTTTTGGAAGGCAGGAGAGATGATGTTTGGTGCCAGAAATATTTGTTGACAGATACGAGTTCCAGAATGCACAGTGAGTTGGGGGAAGGAGACAGGTGTGTCCTGAGAGAGAAAGGGTCGGGGAAGAGGGTCTTTGGGCAAGTGCCAATGATGGTCCAGGGCCACATGCAGCTGTGAGTCTCGCAGTCTGCAGGTGGGGAGATGGGAGCTGTCCTACATCCTGCTGAGGGTAGTGTCCAGGCCAGAGCAGTGTGCATGCTAAGGAGAGCTCAGGGACTGGGCAGAGACAGTTCTACTGCCCATCTCTGGAGGCTCACCTGAGGCAGCAGGAGATGCTGCCTCATGATATGCCAGGACATGTGCGTGGGGGTGAGGAGGCTCAGTCTTTTGCATTCATGCTATGGTCACAGAGACCTGTATGCAGGTAGCCCAGGACCCCATGGGTGCCAGGGGTGTTGGGCTGTGGGAGTTGCCAGAAATTTGCATTCCAGCGTGTGGTGAGCCGCCTCTGCCGCTTATGCAGATTATGGTCGCCATTACAAGATGGCGCTGGCTCCGCTGTGGTATGTGACAAACAACTCCTTATTTGGGAGAGTTGGCGCATGGTTTTTCAGCACCCTATGAGAAAGTTCCACGTGGCAGCTTCGCATTGGGGCTTGAGATGCTATATTAAGGCTGGGAGGGGCATCCGAGGGATTAGTAGAAGAAATATCAAGGGCCTGAATAAACCGCTGAAAGAAGATTCCCGAGTTGCGTCTTCCTTGCGGGCAAGGGGTCGCGACACAGCGAGCAGCCTCCCACCTTTGGAAAGTTTCCAGACTCTGTCCTCAGGCTGTGTGGGGGAGGCAGGAAGAGGGCAGGCTGGGGATCGCTGTACTCAGGGTACCTTGCCATCAAGCTCCTGCCAACAGGACTTTCTCCTTGCCCAAGTAGGCAGGTAGTCATGGGGTGCAATTGGCACAGCGTCAGGCATTGAGCAAGTGCCTCTACTTCATACCTGAGGTGGGTGATGTGTCCATTTTAGAGATGAGTACTGAGGTGTCAAAAAGGCCACACCCTGGCTGTGAGCAGCAGAGCCAGTGTTAAATCAAAGCTCTGGTCCTGACTGGCCATCCTGGTGTGCAGCCTCCTGCAGTTTCACCTCTCACAGTGCCCTGAAGGACTGGGGAGGAGAGAGGTCTGGAGGCCACAGCCCAGTGACCTACTCCCATGGCAGGAGGTACTAAAAGGGAGAGAAGGCAGCTAGGCTTTCTGAAAATGTAACACTTTATTATACAAAACATTCTTATTGTCCCCAAACCCCCGACAGCACCAGGCTGCACTTTAGGCTGTGGCTAACTCTGAAAAGAAGCTCTTGGTCATTTGAGGGCCGACCAGGCCAGACTTGGGGTGGGCAGGTGGAAGATGCCTTCACCAGGGGATGTCCTATGGCAGGCTGGGCCCCTGTGTGTCCACAGGTCCAGTGTCGTAGCCCAGCTTTCTCATGTCCTTGGTCACCACATTGAAGAGGAGGGTAACAAAGCCCTGAGAACGGACCCGGGTCACTGGAAACAGAGGGGCAGCATCAAAGGCTGGGCTAGGCTGGGGCAGACAAGCCCAGGATACTCTGAGTTTCTCTCTCAATTTTAATATTCTCTTCTGTAAAATGAGGATGGCAGTGCTCATGGGGATTCAAGGGGCTGCAGTAGAGTAAATGACATGGCAAGCCCTCTGCTCCAACCAGGTGCTAATCTGGGAAGTGCTCTTGGAAAATTCTCAGGCTAGCTCCCACAAGTACCAGGTTGCAGGTGCCTGGCAGATCCCTGGCCTTCATCCCCCATCTCTTTTCAAGTGTCCTGGGCAGGCACGAGGCCCACCTAGTCCCTCCCCAGGCTCCAACCTGCCTCCGGGCTGGGGATGGGGGTGGAGGGCACCAAGCTTTACCTTCCCGGCCTTCACCCTGAGCCACCACCTTGGGGTCTGTGTATTCAGGTCGTCGTCCCATGAACCAGCTGGGAACACAGGAAAACATGGGTGAGCAGGGCCCTGCCTGGGAATTCTGGTCTCAGATACTGGCAATGGGCTCTCCAGGCTTCAAAACCTAGTATCTCTCCTCCAATGTATCCCCTATGAGCCAGGACCTGGGCAGAATCTCCCTGGGCCCAACCTCCCTCTGTCCAACTGGACACCAAGAGTGGTGGTGTCCCTTGTCTGGGCCGCAGGGCCACTGGAAGCCTACTAGGGCTTCTGGCAGGTCTCAGGGGTTCTGCAGCCCCACGCCTGGTGTTAGGCTTTTCTGGCTCAGTCTTCCGTGGGTCTGAGACACGAGGGACAAAAGCTGAGGAGTGAGGCTGGGCTGGGCTGGGTAGAGCCTGAACCCAGATGGAAATCCCTGAAAGCTGACAGCTAACTTTGGGGGAGAGGACAGCATAACTCTAGTGTCCCTGGGAAGGAGGGCCCTACAGATCTACTCCCCAGTTTCGTCCCTGAGTAGTGTGGGATCCCAGGACAAGTCACTTCTCATCACTGAATCTCAATTTCCTCAAGTGTGAAATGAGGATGATATTGGTGCCTTCCTCTTGGGGTTGTGAGGTGCCATCTGAACATTACCCTTCCTTGGTAGGAACTGGCCCTGGGATGCTCTGTGTGGCAGCCATGGTAGTGACTCCGCGGGCAGGCCCTGCTAAGGGCAGCACTCAGCCACAGGTTCTGGCCCTGGCAGTCAAGTTTCCCCTCACAGGAGCTTTGCTCTACAAATGCCCGTTGACTCTCCAGGCCACAGTTCTGCGGCGGCAGGACAGGGACGGGGTAGCTAGGAACCACCTGCCTCACCCCTGGCAGCTCCAGGGCCTCAGGACTGGGCATGAAGGCTGTACCTTGGACACAGCCACACCCACTCAGCCAAACAAGGTTCACTATTCCCAGCTGGGTGGGTCAGGCAGACGTAGATTCTTCCCAGCTTGGTCACCCAAGAACAACTCACGTGCCCTCAAGCCTCTGTCCTCACCACGAGCAGTGCCAGGCAGGCCCCCTGGTAACAGTGACGAACCACACCACTGTCCACCCACTCCCCTGGCGCCAGCATGGCTCTGTTCTTGGGGCTCAGAGCTCTGTCTGCAGGTTCTACAAGGCTGCAGGACAGGAGGCTGTGTGGAGACCAGAGCAAGGGAGCGTTGCTCACTGACTCCAGGCTCTGAGGAGAGGGACAGAGTGGTACAGGGAAGCCAGAGTTCCTGCTGGCAGCTGTCCATTCCAGGAGACTGGATGGGTGGGGCCCCACCTCTCTGTGCCTATCTTCATCACAGAACAAGGCTCTAACAGTATGCACCTCACAGATGGCTGAGGGCTGAGCCAGGGGACCAGTCCCACCCTGAGGACCAGTCAGCAGCTGAAGGAAGCTGGATGGGGGAGGGTAGTAGAACAGCAGAGAAGGGAGCTTCTGGAGGATGCTCCTGAGGGACCGACCAATGGACTGCATCTCCATGGATACTACATCCAAGAAGATTCTGTCTTCATTCTTCACTAACCAGAACCTCCTGTTTATGTAATTTTTTTTTTTAAATTTTGTTACTGGGGATTGAACCCAGAGGTGCTTAACCACTGAGTCACATCCCAGCCCTTTTTATTTTGAGACAGGGTCTTGCTCCGTTGCTTACAGCCTCACTAAGTTGCTGAGGCTGGCTTCAGACCTGCGATCCTCCTGCCAAGCTGCTGGGTTAAGGCATGTGCCCCTATACTGCACTGTTTTCGTAATGCAGCACACACTGCCTTGCACAGTTGAGAGCCTGTGCAAAGGGCAGGAAATGGCCCTGCACTGAGCTGCCATCCCTCAGGTAGAGGCAAGATGATCACTTGCTCTGCTGGCTTTCAGGCCTCCCTCCTCAGCATGGAACACATTCCTCAGGGACCTCATCAGGAGGCCCAAACTCTCCCTTTGGAGGCTGCAGAGCAGAGCAACAGTGTGGCAGGATGGCTATGTGGACTCTCAAAGCCCTTCCCCAAGCCTGATGACATTCCCAGGTTTTCTGGACACCCCGGGGGTGGGTATTGCACCTCCAACTGACATTGACCCAGGGCATCTGGCTAAGCAGCCCTTTCCCACCTGGTGGACTCCCAGAGGGGATCCTAGGGGCAGTGGGCTCCCAATCCTTAAGCTGAGGCTAGTGGAGAACATTGTTCCTCCTCCCTGCAGACCTCAAAGCTCAGCATGGCTTCCTCTACTCTGAGCTGTCCCTCTTCCCAGCAGGGTTTAACCAGGTCCCACTCTAATCCTGGCCAGGTTGCAGGAGGCCACTTGCTGGTTGCTGCTTGGGAACCCTGGTGGTCCTTCATTTCTTGTCAACCTGCTGGGGAGCAGTGGTGGCTTGCATCCATGTGAGCAGAGGGGCATTTCCATCTGCAATCCCCAGTCAGCCAGCTGAGGCCTGGTTCGCCTTCTAAGTGCCTACCTACATGTGGTAGGGGATAAGAGTCTTTCCCACTGGGCTTCTTCCAGCATCTGTCCCCTGGGCTCTCCCCACAAGACCCTCCCTGCCTTCCTGATGTCTCCCTGACACTCCGCCACCTTGACACTTACTGGCCATAGCAACCTGACTGCTCCTAATGCACTAAGCCCACACTCTCCTCAGGGCACAGCCAGTGCTTGCTGTTCCTTGTGCCTGGAACATTCTGTCCCCCCGTCTTCCCACGGTGGCCGCTTGGCTCCACTTGTCTCTGCTCAAATGCCTCCTTCTCCCTGAGGCTCCCACACATAAAGGATTTAGTAGCTGATTGATAAAAGCTTCTGGGGATCATTGCTACTGTTTTAGGAAGGCAGACTCTCACTGCTGGATTGTATCTGGTGTCATACTCTGGAGTGAGCATTTTCCCTTCTGACACGAGTTTTTCCTCTGCTCCACCTGACATAAAGTTTTAACAGAGCACAGAGTAAAAATGCACTGCTTGCCACTGTGGTGGCACATGCCTGTGATCCCAGCTATGAGGGAGGCTGAGGCAGGGAGGTTTGCAAGTTGCAGGCTAGCCTCAGCAATTTAGTGAGAACTTGTCTCAAGTTAAAAGGCCTGGGATGCTGCTCAGTGGAAGAACGCTCCTGGGTTCAATTCCTAGTGCCAAAAAATAAAACAAACAGCAAAACAAACAACATCAAAATGCACAACCTTATGCTGCCAAAAAAGTTATCAGTAACTGAGCAGCCTCCAAATCCTGGGGACCTGTACCCATTTGTCCCCAGTATATGGGGCGGCCTGAAGGCCTGGCAGGTTTCCAGGCACATCTCAAGGGATGGATTATGACAGCCATTGACCCACTAGAACAGGAGGTGATCTAGCTACAGGTAGAGAACTCACCTTGTGAACTTCTGCAGTTTAGACGTAGACTCTGGCACAAACATGGGGATGGTCCTTTTGTGCCTGTAACAAATGTGTTCCCACACGGATATAGTGAGAAACAGGAAAGTAAAGGTCCTTCCAGAGCCTCCACCAGGCCATGAGTGGGAATCCTCACAGATCAGGCTGTGTGGCTGCAGCCTTATGGAGGTCAGAGTCCTTTTCTTTTCAGGACCCACTTCCTCCCCTCCCCACCTGTATCTGGCTGACAGTGTGAGCCTCACACTTTCCTTCCAGAAAGGCCACACCAACCACATTCCATGCTGAGCTGCCCAGGCGCTGGGGACTCAGTCTGAGCTCAAGATGGAAGCGGCAGGGATGACTGCCTCAGGACAAGCCTGAAGAGTAGGAATGAAGGACCCATGAGGTACAGGCTGTGGCCCAGGGACTCTAGGACCTACCGGCCAGGAGAGAAGGGCACGTGCACTGCCCCATAGCCACGAACCACATCATTCCCGAACACATCTGGTCCATACACACTGAGCACGATCTGAGGCCCTTGGGAAAGACAAGACCAGGGTCAGCAGGCAACAGAGTGTGTCCAGCTGAGTCAGAGGATGGCACTCAAAGCCTTGGGGACAGGAGATTGCTTGAGGAAGGGATATGAAAACCTCAACTGCACTGAGGGCTTCTGCCCACCCTGCTATTTCCCGTGCCTCTGCTGGTACTTGGGCAGATATTTTCCATATCTTAGCTCACAGCATGGGGAGACGAAGCCAAAATACTGTCCCAGCTCTGACACTTGATGGACACAGAAGTGCTTCAGAACCCAGGAGCCCATTAGATTATACCTGAGTGTGACCACCTCCATCAGAGATGAAGCTCCCAGTGTAAGAGAAACTGGCCCTCGGTTGGCTCTGATTGGCCCTGGTGGAGGGTGCTCTCTTGGAGATGTCTAAGACAGAGGAGTTGCAAGTATCTCCCTTTATACTAAGTTACACCTGGAATGTTCTTTCCTCTGTATCCTGTTGACACCAAAGAAGGTCCATCAAGTGCCTTCACCTAATTAGTTCCTCTGTCTCTGTGTATGGGCTGGCCGAGTTTCCAACCTGCAGCTTCTACTGAGCAACCTCAGGCAAGTTATCTAACCTCTCAGCTCCTTGGCTTACCCCTAAATCATTGGAAGCTGGGACTGGTGGCATGTGCCTGTGATCTCAGCTACTCAGAAGGCTGGAGCAGGGGGATAGCAAGTTGGATGGCAACTTAGTGAGAACCTGTCTCTATAAAACGAAAAGGGAGGTAGCTCAGTGGTAGAACGCCCCTGACTTTAGTCCCCAGTACAGCCACAACAACAAATCCCTTGGAATAGTTTCTAGTGCATAGAAAGCCCTCGATTAATATTATGGAGGTGTTTGTTCTCTTCCTATCATTGCTCCTGCACCAAAGATAACTGTAATTCTGAATTTTATGAAACCACATCTTCACTTTTCTTTAAGCTTTTCCTGCCAAAGAATGTATCCCAAACACAGTATTTCATTTTTACCCACTTTTTAACTTTAAATAAAAAGAATCATACAGTATATACATATTTGCATCCAGACTCCTTAATTCAAGGTTATATTTGTGAGATTCACCCAAATGGTATCATGTACAGGGGTTTGTTCATTTCTGATGCTGTATAATATTCTACCATGGGAATATAAGGCATTAACTGTTCATGCTAGTGCTGATGGGCTGTTCCTTCTTTGGGGGCTATTATAAACAGTGAGGTGCTGACCATCTTTGCACAGGCTCTGGGCATGTTTGTGCACCCTTCTATTGGGTATAAACCCAAGAAGGGAATTGCACAGAGCAGGCCTGCGTATCTGTTTTCCAACAGGATGGTGTCAACATGCCCCCTCACCAGCAGTGCTTGCTGAGTCCTTATTACTCAACACCCTCACTGGTCTTGGCATATCTTCCTTTAAACTTTAGCTACTCTGGGGAGTGAACAGTGGGAGGTCACTATGGCTTTAATTTACATTTTCTTTCTTTCTTTTTTGTTATCTCTTCTTGCTCATGGGATTACAGGCATTAATTAAGAGTTTCTGTTCATCAGAAGACTTTAAAAGTGCAAAGACAAGTCACAGAATTCACACACATCCATACTATCATCAGCAAGAAAGTGGCCGTTCACCCGGGATCAAACCCAGGGCCCCACAGGTAAGGCAAGTGCTCTACTAGTGAGCTACATTTCCTGCCCCCAAGTATTTTAAAGATTTTCTTAATAAGGTTGAGACTTTCCCCTGTTTCTTGTTCACTTGAATGTCCTCTTTTGTAAAGAACCTGCTTTTTGTAGTTTGGCTATCTGGTGTCTCCCAAAGCTTCTGTGTTAATGCAGAAATATTCCCAGGTAAGATGGATGGACTGTGAGAGCTGTAACCTAATCAGTGCATCCTAGTTTGAAATGGACTGTGGGTGGTAAATGTAGGCACGTGGGGCGTGGTTGGAGGGAGTGGGTGACTAGGGGCATCTCCCGGAAAGGGGCATCTTCCCTGTGGCCCTTTTGGGTCCAGAGCAATTGAGTTTAATTAATCCCATGCATGTGAATTCAACATAAACTTTTTGTCCTCAAAGTTGTTCTTGTCAGGTATTCTGGTCACAACAACAAAAAAGCTAACCCTGTTCAAATCTCTTGCCCAGTTTTCTACTAGATGGCCGCTTTCTTACTGATTTATAGTACGGATGTGTGTGAGTCCTAATTCTATTGATTGATTGATTGATTGATTGATTATCTATTTATTTATTTTTATGTGGTGCTGAGGATTGAACCCAGGGCCTTACAAGTGCTAGGTGAGCGCTCTACTGCTGAGAGTGGTAGAAACCACACCTTTACTTTTACCCCAGCCCTGTCTGCACTTTTAATGTCTTTTAATGAACAGAAGCTCTTAATTTTAATATGGTCAACTTCATTGATTCCTCCATTACAGAATGCTCCTGGAACACCTTCCCTTACTTTGGTATCATGACCACTGGCTATCCTCCCAAAGCTTGTTTTGCTTTCATGGTTAGATTCACCTGAGGTCAGTATTCATCTTTTCTATGTGTATCCAACTGTCTTAATAAACCACCATTTATTGAAAAGGTCCTCTTTTCCTTCCCACTCTGCAATGCCACCTTAGTTGTGAATCAACTCTACATAAACTTAAGTCTGTCCTGGTGCTCTCTAGGAATATGCTTATCTCTTCCCATGCCCAAACCATTTACACTATCTTATTATTGTGCTTAATAGTTGACATTTGATATCTGGTAGAACCAGTTAATTTTGATATTATTATAAATTACATAATCTTTGTTGTTTTTGGTATGTACTGGGGAGTAAACCCAGGGCCTCAAGCATGCTATGCAGGCATGCTACCACTGAGTTACATCCCCAGCCCTGTAAAGAATATATTTTTTAAATACCATTTTAAAATTTATTGCTAGCACACAGAAATCAAATTTTTTGGGGGTGGGGGGCATACTGGGTATTGAACCCAGGGGCACTTAACCATTGAGCCATATCCCCAGTGTCTTTGTATTTTATTAGAGACAGGGTCTCGCTGAGTTGCTTAGAGCCTTGCTAAGTTGCTGAGCCTGGCTTTGAACTCACGATCTTCTGGCCTCAGCCTCCCTAGCCACTGGGATTTTCAATTCTCTTGTATGAGTTTGTGAAACCAGTCTGGGCGTAATGGCACAAGCCTATAATCCCAGGAATTCAGGAGGCTGCAGTCATAGGAGGATCACAAATTCAAGGCTAGCTTTGGCAGTTAGTGAGACCCTGTCTGAAAATAAAATAAGCCAGGTGCAGTGGCGCATGCCTATAATCCCAGTGGCTCAGGAATCTAAAGCAGGAGGATCAAGAGTTCAAAGCTAGCTGCAGCAATTTAGCAAGGCCCTAAGCAACTCAGTGAGACCCTGTCTGTAAATAAGATACAAGAAGGCTGGAGATATGGCTCAGTGGTTGAGTGCCCCTGGGTTCATCACCCAGTATCAAAATAATAATGATAATAATAATAATAATAATAATTAAAAAAAAAGGGCCGGGGATGTAGCTCAGGGGTAAAGTGTCCCTGGATTCAATTAAAAAAAAAAAAAGTCTAAACATAGAAAAGGTACAGTAAAAATATTAGGCAAAGTTTTATAGCTCCAATGTAATCTTCTGGGACCACCGTCATTTAAGCAGTCCATTGCTGACAGAAGTATCATCATGCAGAGCATGAAAGTACTGTGTTTTATCTCTTTTGATCATGTTAAGAATGTATTTGACCTTCCAGTATCTGGAGATACTGTCTCCACTGCCTTATTTTTGCTAGTTATCATTCATATTGTCTTGATTCCTGTGTGCCTCTTTATTGTATACCAAATACTATTTTTGAAAAAAAAAAACATGGAAGTAATTTCCAAAGAGATTTCTTATTTGCTTTTTCTAGGTGCTGGGCTGTAACAGTCTTGAACTTCAATCCCAAATCAGGGGCTGCAATCTTGAGGTAGCTCAGTTTCCATCTTTCCTTACAGCAGGGCAGCTCTTTAAGGTTTCCTCTCAAGTTGGCCTAACCTGACCCACCTCTGAACTTTCAGAAGTCACAGCACAACATGCAGCAAATCAACTCAGAAGGAAGGGGGAGTAAGGAAGAAGTGGCACTAAATGGGCAAGTGCATCAAAAGCTGGTGCCCAGATGACAGGAGTGAGGATCTGACGTGGACAGTGGTGTGCAAGATGACGCAGAGGGCAACGTGTAATAGCTCCAGCCACCAACACCCCCCCCCCGTCACTGCAGGACCCCCCAGACTCACAGCCATAGGGGTTGGTGCTCTTAAAGGTGACATCGATGGGGAAGTTCCACACAAGCACTCTCCGCACATCTTGGCTCTTGGATGTGATCTGTGAGATCCCCTCTTCTAGACCCTGTGGGGAAAATGACAATGACAGCTGGCCTGAGATGAAGGCATCACACAGCTCCCACCCCTTATCTCAGGCAGGCAGTCAGAAGGACTGCTTTTCATCTACCTTCTACCCAAACCTGAACCTCCAGAGGGAATGGAGAGCCTCCTAGGCCTGGAAACTTTATGCAGAGTCCCATCAGGATGTGGTGACCCGAGGCCAGCCCTTCACCAGGTACTTGATCTACTCTTGCTATGGCAGGAAGTGGCAGTGGCAGTGTTTGTACTCTCACTCCTATAGCACTAGTCCTCCCAGGTCATTCCCATATATGTGCATTATTTCTCCACCACAGTCTTTTGACTCTACTTTCCCCTCTACCTACCCATTTTTTGCTTCCCATACAGCAAACTCCTTGAAAGAAAGAGCTGTTGCCCTCACTGGGAGTTACTGGCCATTCTTACAGGAACCTGTTCCAGTCTGGCTCCATCACTGTACCAAAGGGGTTTTTATGAATAACAACAGTGGCCTTGACATTGCTGTCTCCAAGTCATTTTTCTGTCCTCATTCTACTTGACCCATTAGCAGCATTTGACAGAGCTGGTGACTTCTGGAAGTTATTGATCTTCTTCCTTCCTCTTTCTCTCCTTCTCCTCCATGTTTTTTTTTTTTTTTCTTTTTGGTTAGTTTATTTTTGAGGTGGAGTCTTGCTATGTTGTCCAGACTGGCCCAAATTCCTGGGCTCAAATGATCCTCCTGCCTCAGTCTTCCTATCATGAGGAATCAGAGGCTGCTTTTGCCAAAAAACACTGGACTCCTCATTTGTGCCTGCAAATGTATCTCTGCCCCCATTTTGCATCTGTCTCCTCCCTGAGTCACCCTGGATTCCAGGAACAGGCCTGGTTGAGAAACATCTTCCAAAGAGTAGAAACTCTCCTGTCAATAGCAACTTTCTTATCCCCACAAGCTTCCCACCCCCAATCCTGAGATAATGATCAACTGGACCACCATTTGACTCAAGCTGCTTGACTAGACCTACTTTTGGCTCCCTTACCTACATAATCTGGAAGCTCATGGCAGTACCCCTGGGTTAAGATGCTTCATCTCACTTATCTCCCCAATATGGCCATATTGAGTCAAGTTTCTTTCCTGCTATTCATCATTACTTTTTGTAATGGGTGAGTGGCCAGGCCTGATTTGTTGGGACCCCTGGAGTCAGACCTTTGGCCTAGGACCTCTAGGAATATTTTGAGTAGTTGGGAATACAGGCATGTATCACCATAACTGACCAATGTGCTTCTTGATATTTTTTCTTCCCTTGGTTTCTGGGGGCACCATAGTCTCATGGGGCTTTGTTTTTTCTTTTTTTTTTTTGTACTGGGGATTAAACCCGGGGTACTTTACCACTGAGCTATATCCCAAGACCTTTTTATTTTTATTTTGAGACAGGGTCTCACTAAGTTGCTGAGGCTGGCCTCAAACTTGCAGTCCTCCTGCATCAGCCCCCTGAGTCATTGGGATAACAGAGTCCATCACTGTGCCATCACCTATGGGGCTTTGTAATTCATGGTGGCTCCTGATCAGTCAACCTGGTGGTGCCTCTATAATGTCACAGTGTCCTGAGCTACATCTTTGACTGCTCCTTTACCTGTACATGGTGATCTCCTTGGTTTAATGGCTTTCACTGTGGTCATATGGTGATGATTCCCAAGAATCATTAGACTTCTATCCATAGTCTTCTTGCAGAAAGACAATGGCTATGCTACTTCTAGGTGCTTAGGCTAAGCCTTGGTCTTATTCTTCACTCCTCTTTATCTCAAACTCTACCTCTGTTCAACAGGACAACTTGGTGGCTCTGTCTGCAAAGTATATGTGAAATTGAACCACCTCTCATCACCGCCACTGTTGCCACCATTCTCTCATCTGTGTTACTGTAGCAGTCAACTGGTTTCCCTGCTCTAGTCCTTGCTCCCAGTCTAGTCTTAGCATAGAAGCCAGAGGAACATCTTCTGGGGAGTGGGGGGGCTAGGGATTGTACTAGGGGTGCTCTACCATTAAGCTCTACCCCTATCCCTTTTTTATAATTTTTTTCTTTAGTTGTTGATGGACCTTCATTTTATTTATTTATTTTTATGTGGTGCTGGGAATAGAACCCAGTGCCTCCGGCATGCTAGGCAAGTAATCTACTACTGAGCCACAGCTCCAGCCCCCACCCCCAGCCCTTTTTATTTTGAGACAGAGTCTCACTAAGCTGCGGAGGCTGGCCTCCAACTTGCAATCCTCTGCCTCAGCCTGCAAAGGCAGTGGGATTACAGGTATATCCCACCACACCCAGCTCCAGAGGGAGCTTTTTCTTCTATTCAAAACTCTGATGGGGTCCCATCTCCCCCTGAGAAAGGTCCTGGTCCCTATCCTGACCAACTGAGCCCTATAAGATCTGTCCCTGTGCCTCCCTACTTTATCTCCAGTTGTCTCCTCCTTGCTCACTTGGTTCACTGGGCACATTAGCCTCCTTGCTGTCCTTAAACATGCCAGGAACACTCTGACCTCAGGGCCTTTGTACTCTCTGCTTCTTCCCTCTAGAAAGTTCTTTCCACAGATTTCCACAGAGCTTGTTTCCTTACTTCCTTTTCTGTTTGTAAAACATTGTTTAATCCTCACATCAGTTTAAGAAGTGGAGGCCCAACTTATGTAACCTTTCTAAGCCTCACTTTCCTCTTCTGGACAACTGACATGCAAATATTATTTGCCGGCAGCCATTCCCTGAATAACTATTATGGATTCCTCTGGGTGCTGGGGATACAGTGGTGACCAAAACCAGATCCATCAGATCTTTACTCAAAAGTGATTTCCTTGGTGAGGCCTTTCCTGGCTACCTTGTTCCAGCCTCCCTCTTTTCCTTAATATCTCCTGTGTCCTGACTTCATTTACCCCCTGTGCTTTTCATTAGCTAACACACCACAATATTGTACTAATTATTATCCATCCTCCCCATCCCAAGGATGTATATACTCAGGAAGATAGGGACTTTTGTCTGGCTTTGGTTACCACCAAGATAGCTCTCTAGGACTGACCTGCCTGCACTGTCCAATTTTCCTCTTTGCTGATATGGGCAAACTCACAGGGTAAAGTATGCGGGTAAGTGCACACTTCCAGAATGCTCCATGATAGCTGTGCTCTCCTCTCCAGCTTTACCAGGAACAAATGTTTGGATTCCTTCTGACCTTGTGTCTACCTCTCAGTTGATTCTGGAAAGGATGGATACCTTCAGAAACCCTAACAGTCATGAAGCCTGTGAGTAAAGGAGGACCAAGAGTCCAGCTTACCGCTGTGGGGGCCCAGTCCTGTCCGTACACAAAGCAGTACTTGCAGTAGAGGTCATCATACTCTGGAAACTGCGGAAAAACCACAGTGACTCTGTTTATTGGGGTTCAAGCTGAGTCCTGTACATTGGCTATGCTAGTGAAGATGATAGGAACTGTGAACATGAGGCACCAGGGGCAGGGTCTAAGAGACAGCTGGGGATGTAGACATGGAGTTCAGCAGAGGCTGGAGACTGAGATGGGAGAGTCTGAGGGAAGAGTTCTGGGCTGTCACTGCCCCTGAACCTCTTTGACGTCTCTGTCTTCTGTCTGATATGCCCTTCCCATTCCATCATCTGGCAAATTCTTACTCATTCTTCAAAACACCCTTGAGGGAGCCTGCCTTGACTCCCAGTCTGACTTAAGGGTCACTTCTTGGTTCCATCAGCCTCTGTACTTCCCTCCATTGAGGCACTGGATACTTATGCCAATGTCCATCACTCCATTTACCTGTTAAGAGTCAACAGGTTTCATGCCTTTCTGTGTCCCCAGTGCCTGATACAGGGGTGGGCACAGACAAGATCTAAGGGAAAGGGGTTGATGCAAAAGGTCTGAAAATCCAGGGAGCCAATCAGATCACAGAGAATATGTACATGGCTTGAGGACAGGGAGGGGTTCAAAGAAGAGAAAGAGGAATAATGGGGGGGAGGGTGGAAAGTTCTGAGAGCACCAGACCTGAAAGGGACAGAAGGAAATGGGGAATAGGCCAAAGTTGGAGTGGACAGGGTAGGCCTATGGAGCAATATCCTGATGAAACAGGAAGGCAGACAAAAAACCTACTGAGCATCAAGCCTGGGAAACTATCTCTAAACCATCACCTCCAACAAACAGCTTGGAAGGACAGTGTAGCAAAGCTGTCAGAGAGGCCCGTGTTCAAATCTCACCTTTACTCCTGGCAAGTTTTCCCAGCTGTAAAGCGGGGATGTTAGTAATACCTTATTGAGTCTTCTGGGTGCTGGGGATACAATGGTGACCAAAGGATTGTTATGAAGAACAGTGTTGGATGCTGAGTCTGGTACATAGTGAGTACTTGGTGAATGTTGGCCTTTATTTATTTGTAATAAATGGTTCTTATAAAGTGTAGGGGGTGAAGAGTAGCGTCCCTTTGATCTGACAGGCCCACACCCCCTGGATCATTCCAAGCCATCAAGGTTGAATCTGACTCATCAAAGCATCAGATTCTAACCCAAGTTCCAGGATGGGGCGCGGTCCTGACGTCCCAGGCACATTCACTCTGGGAAGCGGCCCTGCGTCCTAGTCGGGCCATCGCTGCTCCCACTATTCCCCGGAGGCTCCTGCCAGTGACTCAATCAAGTGGCCACGATTCAAGCCCGGAGCCACAGGCTTGGCCGCGTGCAGCCTACGGACCAGCGCAACCCCTCGAGGTCTGTTTTCACTCCTGCACGTGGTAGCTAAGGATCCCCAGCAACTTGGCGCTCAGCTTCAAGTTCTGGTTCTCCTCCCCGAGGAGAGAACTGAGAGATTCCGCGGATTGACACGGCGGCTCTCCAGCCCGCGGGCTTGCGGAAAGGGCCCTGGGGGGACACGGGGGGCAGGCCCGGGCGGGGGTCCTTGGCTGCTCACCTGGGCGCTCTCCACCTGCCCGTTGACCATGAGTAAGAAGACGCTAGGACTCGCTGCCGCCATCGCAGGGCTCGGGGCTCGTGAGACCCACCCTGGCCGCACGCGCGGCTGCTAAGAGGCATCCGGGTCGCTGTGGAAACAGACGGCGTGGCGCAAGGGACACGTTTGTTGGCAGCGGCAATTTCGCGAAAGAGTGTCGGATGTGGAATGCTGCGCAGGCGCAGAGGGTGCTCTCTGGGGGCGGGACTTGTGAAGGGCGGGACTAGAAGGGGAGGAGCTTGGCCAAATTCAGGCCTGCCGGAAGCCATGTGTTAAAAAAACACATGTGCTCATTCGCCCCTAGGTGTCGCTGTGGCACTACCCCGAAGAATGCAAAAGACCCAAGCGGAGGGAGGATGCTGCGTGCTCAGACAGTGCGACCACAAGCGGTTGGGGTTAAAGCTGAAGGTGGGGTGCTTAGAACCAAGCAGGTCCCGGCCTCAGACAAAGGGGATGTGCCTTTATGGCTTTTGAGACCCTCGTCCTGGAAAGTGTATATTAAACAAACTTGGAAGGGACTTCAAGAATCCTTACATCCAAGGTACTTGATGTGAAACTGGTGAAGCTGAGACCCACCGAGGGGCAGCACCTGGCACCGCACTCAGCCAGGGCTCTCGGATCTGTCAGGACTCTTCAAATCCCAGTTACTCCCCGGCCACCAACACCCCTCCCCAGTAGGGGTGTTGCTTTAACACAAGGTTCCAGCGGCTCTTGGCGCTCACCAGAGTTTGTATTTCCACATTTATTTATTGCTATAATTAGGGCTGATACTTGCCTCTGCTACTAGAATGCTAGCCCCGAGTCCAGAGACCACATCAGTCTTGCATCCTCGTTGCCTGGCACATAGTCAACTCCCGGTAACCACTTGTTGAGTGAATGAATAATTGATTACATCTCCGTTTTAGCAGAGGTGACAATCACAGCAGCACTTCAGTAGCCAATTCATGATTCACACCCATGGGTTCACAAGACTGTCACTCTTCTCATGCCCAGTTCTGGGCTAGATCCAAGGGTGCCTCCTGGTGGAGGTGTCAAAGAGAACATTAGAGACCTTATCTCGGATCCAGGAAATCAGGGGAGGAACAGATGTGTAGATGTCAAGGGAGACCTGGCTGCCATCAGGGACTCCAGTTCATCACACCCTGCAGACCAAAGGAGTCCCAGTAACCACCTGTGTGACAGTGTGGTTACAGCCCAGCCACGAACAAATGAAGCCTTCCCCTTGCTAGGTGAGCAAGGATACCTGATAGGGAGTTGTTGTGGGTAACCAGGGGTCACACATCTGATACAAGGGGTTGCCAGACAATTTGGGACCCGAGTGCCACACATGTTCCCAGGGGAAGAATTGTCTAACTCCCCAGGGACTTGCTCATACCCCCTTCCTCTCCTTCTCACACCAAAGCTTGGCAGTTACAATGCTTTCTCCCACAGATTCTACCAGCCTCACTCAACTTTCCTTACTGTGGGCTTTGAGGCTTGGTATTGCACAAAATTTGGCAAAATGCTTGCATTATCAAAAAACTAGGGACAGCCAGGAGTTTGGAACCTGGTTACATAATGGGGGAATCTTACCAATAGACAGAAGCTTTGGATGACTCTCAGGGGTATAGATAAGTCTGATTCCTGGGTGTTGGGGAATGGGAAACACCAGAGTAGGGTGGGAAGGTGGCTGGTCTGAGGCTAATGGTATTAGAAGGGACTTTGAGCAAGGAGTCTCAGGATTTTCTGGAATCCTTACCACCAGTTCAGGTGGATCTTCAGGAGGTCTTGTGCACTGGAAGCCCTAAGGCAGAACATCATCAAGTTTGGGGCAGTCAAATTGGCGAAGAAAGACCCTTCTGCAGTCTGTGATATGCAACAGTTTCAGTTGAATACTTTGCAGCTCGCAGGGTGGGACATAGGAATCTGTGTGAAGTGGAAGCAGAACTTCAGCCCAGGCAGACTTTCAGGTTGTGCACCAGTCCAGCTTGGCTGGTTATTAATATATGCCAAACTTCCCTACCCACACCCCCTCCAGCCCTCTGGCTTCTTGCCCCTAGACACCTTCCTGGGCTCCTTTCAGTCCTCCTTGACACTCCCTATTGCCACCTCACTCTTAGCACAACCCCTCCTCTATTGAACTCTCACACAGGACCATCAGGAAGGCTTGAAGACCATCAGGATGTGGGATGCACTGAGGCTGGCAACCGTGTCAACTGTCCATACAGACATGGGAATGGAAGCAGATTGAGGCAGAGCCGGGTGTCCCTCCCATCCTCTCCCCCTGCATCCCCATATCTGTGGTGCTAACAGGCAGCTGTCCATGGCAAGCCCATTCTCTGGGGCTCGGGGACTCTGAGGATTATTACCCCTGAAAACTTCCCAGCTCCATCCTGCCAACCTCCTCCAACCCAGCATTTACCACCACTCTCAACCCTCCCGGCCTCTGCTCCCATCCTTACCAGTATCAGGTCCAAACCCTTGGGCGTGGCACTCCTCCCACAGAAGGAAAGATTGAGGCCGGGTGGCCAGAGGGACAGGCTGCATAGAACTGTTGAGAAATGGAAGTTTTGGTATTTGTGCCACCAAACCCAGAGCTACTGGGGGCTTCTGGGAACAGAAGCAGCTCCTCTGTGCCAGACTTGATCTCACACGTGTCCAACCACAATTGATTTGGACCCAGGGTCATGATGAAGTGAGACTGAGGCCAGCTGTGGAAAAAAGTGGGTAAAGGGGAGGTGGAGGGCCTCCATCCTGGACCAGCTGTCAACCACCCTGAGCTGCCCCTGCCAAAGCAGCTGACACTTGTGAGCACCCAGTCTCGCGAGATGAAGGCTCCCTCACAGCGCTACCGGTTGTCTAGGAAGATGCTTGCCCGCCAAGGCCATGTGTCTGGGCCCTACACCTTAGACCAATGAGGCCTCAGGACTCAGTTCTGGGTCCTGGGGCCCTGCAAACCTGCCATCCATCCCCTGCTGACCTCTGCAGCCTAACTCCCACTCACCCCTCCAGTTTGAAATCTGACTGGCTGCAGCTTCTTCATCACAACCAGAGAAGTGTTGTGAGAATTAAAGATGTCCAGTGCTTAGAACATACTGCAGTTGGCTATGTTTTTAGCTATTTTTATTCCTAAACATAGTTCTTGGGATGTATGTGGTTTTTCATGCTGTTCCCTCTACCTAGCATTTCATCCCCTGACTTATCTACCTAGAGAACTCTTATTCAACCTTCAAAACCCACCTTTGTGAAATCTTTCTTAAACTTCTTCCCCACCCCCATGGCTCCACAACCTGCTCCCTTCTTCCTACCCAGAGGTGCATAATAGATGAGTGTCCATCTCTGCTTGCTTTTCGGTCAAGACAGGAAACTCACTCCTTACTCAGGCAGCTGGGCCTCCTTTAGAGTACCCCCCATTTACTACATCCTGTTAATCAGGACCCTCACTTGGGTTCTTCAAAGGTCATGCCCAATCTGCATGGAGCTCCTCCCTCTACATTAGACACCTCGGCTACCTATCACTTTCTCTGTTCTGGACTCAGGTTCCTGCTACCCAAACCCAAGATCAGATTACTGGTTTAAAAAAAAAAATGTGTGTATCTGTTGGTGGCGGGGTGATTCTGGCGATTGAACCCAGGTCACTATTCCACTCAGATATATCCCCAGACTTTTTATTTTATTTTGAGATAGGATCTTGCTAAGTTGCCCAGGCTAGCCTCAAACTTGCCATCCTCCTGCTTCAGCCTCTCAAGTAGCTAGGATTACAAATGTGCACCACCACCTAGCAGGTTACTGATTTTAAGAGACCTTGGGTTTGGACAGTCCCCTCTGTAACAGTTGTCTCCTTTCCGGTCCACTTCCCCACCCTCACCCACAGCTCTTTACCAAATAACAGCAACAGCAGCAGGAGCCATATCTGTAGATTGTCTTGGGTTGAATCTCCAGCTGGGTCTGGCTTCCTCCTCCTCAGTCTAGTGTCTCCTCCTCACTGCTCCTATAAGGCTCATGTCACTGGGCAAAGGAGAACTGGCCTGGGAAAGAGGAAGCTGTCCTGGCAGGGCCTGAGCCTCAGACTTATGGGTAGGCATCCTGCTTACAGACCTTGATACTGGTGGGCTTTGCAGCTCCTCCTGCCAGGATCCCATCCTGGTTATAGGGGACAAGGGACTCCTTTTATTTCTTATTTATTTATTTATTTATTTATTTATTTTCATCTCTGCTCTCCTTTGCAGAAAGGGACTCCTTTTAGCCCTGCCTTTCATCTAAGGTGAGAGGCAGAGAGAGTGACTGGCTGAGATAGATAACCACTCATATTCTGTATATCCGGTGAAGCTCTGAGCTCCCATGATTGCTGGGCTCCACAAGGCCAGGGCTCCTAGCTCCCCTGCACAGCTGGGGGAAATTGACGCTTAGAGGAAATGACTTCTCAGGATCACAGTGAGCTGGAAGCAGAGTGGGGAACTGAACTGGGGGGGTCCCTGTAACTCCAAGTCCCCAAGTCATTCCTCTGGAAAACCTTTTGTTCTTTCTTCCTGCCTCTGCATGTTACCCTTCAGTGGAGGGGACACACCTTATCTACCTGGAGAATTCCTATTCAACCTTCAAAACCCAACTTTGTGTGAAGTCTCCCTCCCTCACATTCAAGGGAGAAAGTCCCTAGAGCAACTACTTCTAGGAATCTCTACAGCCTGGGGTTTAGACGAGGCTTATGGCCTGTCCTTAGTGGATCCCTCAGGCCCTTCTTCCTGCCTTTACCTCATCTTGCCTGCACCTCCGTCTCCCAGCCCTAGATACCTGAGCACCACCTTCTTAGCAATGGTGAGGGGTTTTAATTTTAATTTTTTGAAAATATTTTTAGTTGTAGATGGACACAATACCTTTATTATTTTTATGTAGGATCAAACCCAGTGCCTCACAAGTGCTAGGCAAGGGCTCTACACTGAGCTATAACCCCAGCCTGGGTTTATTTTTCATTGAGGAGAAATTTGCATACCCTACCGTCAAACCCCGGTTGAAGTGTCTGATTCAGTAGCCTTCTGCACTGCTCTTCTTTGCAGATGCTATTCCTTGGTGCCTGGAATGTCCTTTCTGCTTTTTCTGCTTGAAAGCTTTCTAATGAACTTCAAGAGACAGATTAATGCCCTCTTGTCCAGGATGCCTTTTTTCCGGACCCTCCAAGTTGGTTCAGGGACCTTCT